TTGATCAAACTGAACAAGGACATGTTTGTTCACAAAAAAATAGAGTGAAATGCCTGTATTTTTCCATCTACTCAAACTGGTTTATCTGAAAGTTCACCTCCCTGTTTTTGTTTATTTAGTACTGTGTCAATAAGGAGTCATCTGCCACAAAGTCTAACGCCGTCGACAGAAAATGTCCAGTCCCTGTTCAGGTAAGATGCACAGTTAATATCGTCTTGTCTCGCATTTTCAAGTGGGATTGAACATATTTCATCTCCAGCCTGGATATAGTCTTGTTAGCTTTATTCTTAAAACAAATATTTCTATACAATGTTCTTCTGATTGGTGCTTCAACAGACGCCGCTGGCTGCGACCAGAACCCTCAGTCAGGGGATAAGAAGTCTCATGGCGGCTGCCACAAGGGCAAGGGCCATGGAGGCAAGCATGATAAGGAGGCGATCACAAAGGAGGAGACCACGAACACGGGCACAAGAAGCATGGCCATGGGCATGGTCATGGTCATGGTCATGGTCATGGTCACGGACCAGAACAAGGAAAAGAACACGCAGATAATTAGAAAGGTGAATAGAGGTGGGATAACGAGCTTATTAAAGATCAGCTTCTTACTCTGAGCGATGGGGTCCTACATGAACACAGTATTAGTTACTTCCCATCTGAAACTTTAGTTTTTGTGTTTTTTTATTTCTCTGTGCTCACTGGTTTGAAGTGGCCTCAGCTGGAAAAAGTCCTGATGAAGCAGAGGAGGGAGAAACTTAATTTTCCGTGTTTCGTCTCATTTTGTCTTCCAGGCTGCAAACACACCAGACCACCAGACGTCCTATGAAACCTGTCAATGCACTCTAACATTGAAACATGTGACACTATTACCTTAAATCTGATTTACTTTAAAGAGGTCATTAAACAGACTTTTAATAATTGTTGTTTGTTTGTTTGTTTTCACATTATAACCCTGTAAACAAAGCACAAATCACAGAAAATCTCTCTTAATTACTAAAACGTCCATATCAACCCATGAAAAAACTGTTAAATGATTAATAATGGAGTATTAGGGACGTTTAAGGTACATAAAACAGCGCCTTTGTTTGAAGCACCGTCACTATATTTGAGTATGTGCTGTGAGTGCCGTACCAGAGTAGGAGCCCGTTCTTCCCAAATGCTGATACTTTGAGAAAGTGTGACAAAGTGTTGGTATTTCAAGGTACAACGTTGTTTATTTGTCATTATAACACACAAGGTTGTATAACGAAATGCTACACACACACAGAGAGAACTTAACAGATAATTAAATGTGTATTAAATATAAATTAATCAAATTAAATAAAACAATAGGCTGTATACAGTTATTTTTGAATACAAAGGCTATATCGGCCTATACATGCATATACACACCCTGAGCACTGTGCAGTGAATTTGTTTAATTTGCCACTGGCTGAAAATTAAACAGCAGCAACAAGATGATAACATGGTCCATCTTAACTGTGTTTGAGCACGAAGCATCACTGGTCTAAAACAGTCCACCTCTTCTATCTTGAGTCTTGCGCTGACAGTGCCGAACACGGACCATCCGCTGAGTGCTTGATCTGGGATGTTGTAAGTAGGCTAGATGTCCTGTCAGGCCAAACTTAATGCCCTTTGATGAAAACATTGCCACCCAGAGTTGCAGCCAACCGCTCTGGGTGAAGCTGCACTGACAATTAAGGTGACAGTTCTTAAAGGTGAGTGAGTCAACTGTCTGTCTGTCTGTCTGTCTGTTAATAATATCAATAATTACAAGCAAGTAAAACTGGTTCCAATTTGCGTTTTGACGTCTGACTGCTGTTTTCAGACAGACTGTGATTCTGTCTGTTTCTCAATGACTGATCTTCTTGTACTTAAATGATCAATTGTAAAATTAAATGCACACAGTTTCTTTTTTTCAGTAAAACTTTCAACAGCACCTCAGTGATTCAGTCCTGCATTTCCATAAAGCTGGGAGAAAAGGAAATTCTAAGCAGTGAGGCAGAGATATCCTGACTGAGTCAAGGTCCAAATACACCGGATCCTACATTTCCCATAATGCAACTTTGTAATGTCTTTGAGCATTATTAGGGTTTCATTTATCTCTTTTCAGAGCCATGTGAACTTTCTGTGTAAACTGGACTATGAGACCTAATAATAATCCCAGACTGAGAAATAAGGGTTATTGTGAGATTAATGTGGACTGGTTTTAATAGTTTTTTATTTTCCTGACTTTTTTTAAAAGAGGTAAGAATTTAAGTTTTAAGTTTATGTAAGGAACTCATTATTTGCATTAAATGGGTGTTAACAATATTTTCAGGAACATGTTTTTAGAAGTTAGGCTGAACTAAATGTCCATTTGCACATAATGCATGTAATCATGAAAAATTTATACTACTGAGTGTTGATTGAAAAAATGTTGCATGGGTAAAATAGCTTACAAGAAATCCTAGTGGTGAGACTACAGTCTACAGTGGCAGTGGATTTGGCTTTGTTATTTGGTATTTTGTCATAACCAATAATAATAATTAAAAAAATAATGGGTTACAAACAGGTAAAGTTTAGTCAAAGCTTCACTATACTGAAATATCAGAGACTTACTGACTTTTCAAAATTAAGATTAAAAGCAAATTCAGTTGTCTGGAGGAATCACATAATGACTTTCAGCTTCTCAACCTGCAATAAATAATCCATCATACAACCTCAGCTAAAAGAAATAATGAAAACAGTCGTTTTGCAAATATTTGCTCAATAATAACTTACTTTGTGGTTCAAAAGGACGAAAAGCATAGTGGAACATGAGTCCTGAAACATGCACACCACCTAAAGACCCTACAGTTGAAAGTATTTTATGTATTATTTTTTAGTGAATGTTTCCCGAGTAAATTCATTTCTGTGTGTGTGATTGAAGTCGATCTGAACTGGTAGTCGTCTCCTTCTCTGCTGCCAAAAGAGATATGAAAGCCAGAGTAGGTAAACATTGATTTACCTGGGACTAACCTCTGGTTATGTTAGGAACCTGCTCAGGAAACATGTCGGATGACAAAGCCGCCCTGTTGAACAGGTGACTGACTTGTAATTTTCTCCCTGAGATACTTTATGCTCCATCTGTGCTTTAATCAACAACATGAGACCTGTTTCAAATACTCTGCTTGCATTTTAGTGGAATTTACATGAACAAAACTGCTATGAATTCCCAACAAAAACAGACAAAAACACGTATTTGTGTGACTTTTTACGTCACAAAAAAACATTAAAATATGGCAAAAAAAAACCATTGTGAGTGTCGGTTAATTTTAAATTTGTGGTAGAAAAACTCCTACATGTCTTGAACTTGAAGAAACCGGATTTGGATGAAAGAAAATCACTGATGACACCAAGTGGCAGCAAGATGAAACTGTTAAAAGTTAAAAGACATTTTTCTTCCCCTGTGACATAGAGCTCCATTGCTGTTCAAAAAGCTGAGCACAAAACAATGAGCCACACTGATGCACTGGCTCACATGTCCCACATCCACCATCCTGCTTCCCTAAATACTCACTAGAGCACCAAACGTGGATTAATCCACCACTTAAAATAGTGTCCAATAAATGCACTAATGCAACCCTTTGTGGGGGTCCTGACCTCCTGCTCCACAATATATCTGATTTGGTTTCTTCTTGGCTATGAGGGACAATGGCATACCTGATAAGAAAGGTTAAGTAAATATTATATAGATGATGAGCTGCTCAGAAAAAAATTATCCGAGCACCACAAAGACATATTTCAACTTGAGAAACAAGAAATCTCTTCCAGCGCCCAGTAGTTCTGTGGATGGCAATTTACCTCAAAATGACTTGTAATAACTTTTGGTTATCCTCTTAATTTTCCGCTAGCGCCCTCATCAGGTCAACTTTTTACTTTATACGTGCATTACCAATACATTAGCTTATGACCAAATGCCAAATTCTGATGTCCCGATGCTGAAATTATTGAATAAATAATCAAAACTAGCAGATTAATTAGTAGAATTATGCTTTTTTTCTTTCTTTCTTGGGTTACAGGTTTAGTAAGTGTTGATTAGGAAAAAAAACCATTAAATTTGTCTGTGATCCGTTTGAAGACCCTGAATTTGTTGATGTGACAATATATACATGATTATAATTATATTAAAGGTATGAGGAACCCTTAAACTGAGAAATTAAAAAATGGATTATTATTAGATTAATGGAAACACTTAATTATCTTCACCCATGTTACATTCTTAACACATTAAATTATAATAGTTGAAATTAGGGTGTTTCATCAGAGAAATATCAGAGTTCAGGGTAGAATGTATTCATATCATATCATACTGTTCCTTCAGTGGTGTAGCCCACACAGTGAGAGAGGTAGGCCTAGTAGTTTGTGGGAAAAAAAAACAGAAAGAGCACCTGAATGAAGTCCAGCAAAGGTACGCTGTAAAACGAAAGAAAGAAAGAAAGAAAGAAAGAAAGAAAGAAAGAAAGAAATTAAACAGAAAGAAAGAAAGAAAGAAAGAAAGAAAGAAAGAAATTAAACAGAAAGAAAGAAGAAGAAGAAAGAAAGGCAAAAGAAAGAAAGAAATTAAACAGAAAGAAAGAAAGAAATTAAACAGAAAGACAGAAAGAAAGAAAGAAAGAAAGAAAGAAGAAGAAAGAAAGAAAGGCAAAAGAAAGAAAGAAATTAAACAGAAAGAAAAAAAGAAAGAAGAAGAAGAAAAAAAGGCAAAAGAAATAAAGAAAGAATGAATGAAAGAAACAAAAAGAAAAGAAAGAAATTGAGGAGGGAAAGAAAAAAGTAATACTGAATTTAATGAAATGCATGAAATTAATTGTCCTGATGCAATTTAGATGTGGCTTTGGCAAAATATGTAGCTACACATTCATGCCAATAAAGCTAATTTGAATTTAAATTTGAATAAAAATGAAAAAAAGAATGAAAGAAAAACAATGACAGAAACGACACAATAAATGAAAGATCTCTCTGCTTACTTTACTTGCCAGAACTTGAACACCTTGAAACATGAGGGGTGAAACAAGGACTGAGAAGTTTACGTGATGCACCTGAAAGTCTGATGACGCTGCACGTCGCCGCTAGGGGGCGTGGTGACATCATCGATAATGTAATGCAGCTGAAGGAGACTGAGGGAGTCTCTGAAGTGTTGGGACGGTGGAGAACAGATGGTCATGGCAGCGAGCTGACACAAGCTGCTCTGGAAGGGCTGGAGAGAGACTTTACAGGACGAGAAACGGTTCAAACTAACCAATTAGTGAGGCAGAGCGCGAGGCATCACCTGCGGGAGCTTCACCTGTTGGAGAAACGACGTCTTTTGCTGCTCTTCTTTCTTGCTGGTCCGTGTGTGAAAGGTTTGCTCACAGCTTTCTGCAGAGATCAGCGTTTTCAAGTAAGCTGAAGGTCCTGAGAATCAATACAAAGGTGTCAGATAATGCAGTTTCTTAAGGTAGTTGTGTTTTTACTTCTCATGTTGCTTACTTTGTGAAAGCTTCGTGTGTTTGTTTGTTTGTTTTTTTGTTTGTTTGTTTTGTTTTTTTGAAGTTTCATTTGTATGTTTGGTAATGTAATTAAAAAAAACCCATAGCCAAATACAATAAGTTGCCCAATTCTTCACGCAATTGCAAATTTTATTTTATCAATCAATCAATAAAAGCCAAATGAATAATCAAAATTAGAAAACTAAAACAAATAACATAATTCGTTATAATATTTTACACTTTAAAAATATTTTTAGTTCCTTCCAGCTTTAATCTAAATGGGGAAAAAAGTTATGAATGATTAACACTGAAGCTCTATATATATATATATATATATATTATATATAATCTCTTCCAATAGTTTTCTCTATAAATAATCATTTGATTAAAAAATTGTCAGAAAATAGTAAAAGTTGACATATTTAAATTGCTTGTTTTGCCCAACCATCAGTCCAAAAATCTTAAGATATATGGTAGTTTGATGTCTCCATATATAATTAATCAATTAATTTAATTCATATATCAGAATAGTGGCTGATTAATTAAGGGCAAAAAGTGTCTGTGAAATTTAAGGAGACATTTATGGCAGTCAAACTCCTGCTGTATCAAAATCTAATCTCTCAGAGTGAACTGAGGCTGATGGATCCCAGTCAGCCCGAGGCATCATGGACACCTTGGACTACAGAGACGACCTGAGAGTCTCAGCGGGAAGGATGAAGTGGTGGAGGGAGGTACACATGTGGAGAGGCAAGGGGCAGCAGAGGAAAGAGGAGGGTGAAGAGCTGGTGGAGGTGCTGCTCCGAGGCAAAGCACCCTGGGGCTTCACCCTGAGGGGAGGCACCGAGCACCGAGAGCCTCTGGTCATCTCAAAGGTAACTAAATCGTTTTTCCACACAATCAGGCCAGAAATGTCAAGGTTGGGTTGTTTTGTTATTTAATGTGTTTGTCTATTAAATGTTTAATATTTTAAAATACATTATATAATTTTCCAGTGACGCCATAAAATTTTTTTTTTTTTTATCCAAACAAAACACAAAGATGTTCATTTTACTATATGCCAAAGAAAAGCAATCCAAAAATGTATCAAGTTATTAATATTCTTCTGATCAACTTCTTAATAAATTCATTGTTTCAGCTCTAGAAGTCCCAAAGAAGCAGTTTTACATTGACACTGAGGCGGCAGAAAACTACAAAAATCAAACATGTAAACGACTGCTGCAGCACAGAGGCTAGTCTTTATTAATAAACAAACAGTATTTAATTTACCAATAATGCAAACGCTGTGCTGCAAGTTTCAGTTCGACTTGTGGTGCAGAATTTAAGGTTCAGCATTGATCTTTACTTGCATCACCCGGAAAGCAGTGCCAAAATATGTCGTCCCTCCAAGTCTTCTTTTAAACTGGACAGCACGGATGTGTGAGATGTTACACTTCAGGGTAAAATGTTGAACTCTAATCACGCGCTCCAGTCAGGTCAGTCAGCTGCAGCAGCAACAGGATATAAGCATGGGCGTACACAACAGCTAGGGGCAACATAAAAATGTGCTGAAAAAAAGTAACTTGAGCTAAAAAAAAAAAAAACAAGCTTAAAATAAGCATATTTTTAGATTTTGAATAGTTTTCTGTTTCCTTTTATATAAATAAAGACATTACCACCATTAATTGGTGCAGAAAATTTCTCCACAATACAGGAAATTAAGGGTTTAAGGCTCAAAATGTTCGTCACACCTCTAATCTGAGTCCTTATGCTCCCCCCTCACTTTTCACACTAAGTGACGCCCTTGGAGGGGACACACATAAAACAGCCATTGTACTTGTATAGAATATGTGTGCACGGAGGAAAGCCTTACTGCTATTATAAGAGTAGCATATCACTGAATAATGATCTTATGTCTGTTTTTTCTTTTCATTTTATTGGCCAACAACACAAAGTTGTGCAAAGTTGTTTAAATATGAGTTAGGTTCATAGATTCACCACGTGGTCATACTGTAACTATTAAATTATCTCACGTCCTCCACACAGTATTTTAGGTTTCATCTGGGACAGAGGACGTCTCTTACTTAGAAATTCAGCTGCAGCAAGTCCACTGATCTGCCACTTAATATCATGTTGAGCAAAACGCAACACAAGAATATTAGCCTAATATCAGTTCACACTTACCGCCGTGTTCGCTGTAGTCGGTGACTTACTATCCAACAAGCTGCTAAACAAGCTAGGTAACGTAATAAATATAGCTAACAAAGCGGACTTGTCATGACTAATTTATTAATGACTCAGCATCATCTGTTTTGAAGAGACAGGCATCAATTCATTCGATGTTTAAGGTGAATAAAATATCCTTGCCAGCCTACTTAACATTACTGTAGTTCCTGTGATTGCCAATAAAAAAAAAACTAATTGGGAAACTCTTTTACATTCATCACGTTTATATTCGACTCAAAGCTTTATTTTAATCCAGGTGTAAATGTTTGCAAGATAAACCCTGATATAAAAAGAAGTACTTTATCTCGGGAGCGTGACCCATAACCCCGGCAGTGTGGGTGCTTTTCTGCACCTACTGAGCTCCCGGGGATATTATATTCAGGAGGTTATGCGACAACCAGCAGCTACCAGGAACCTTTTCGATCTGCTCTTAGTGCTGGTGCGAACTGCAGCTTCCACGGAGCGGTGCACCAGCAGCCACCTCGGGTTACAGGCGGTGCAGCATTTAATTTTTAATCAGAGCACTCAGATTGCCGGCGCCCACAGGTGCTCCTGGATGATGAGGATGAAACAGTATCCTGAGTGAAACATCCACGTTAGAAGATGGCTGACAAATAGAAATGCTGTTGCACCTATCCCCTTCCTGGGAACATTTTTCTTGGCTGGTTTTAATTCCATCACCTGACACAACATGATATATCTCTGGCTGTTAGTGGCCAAAAGAGACTTGAAATAATAACAAGACTGAGAGTCCATAGCAACTAGCAAACTAACTTAGTTTAAAAAACTTACTAGTGAGGCAACAAATGCAAATTTTGCAAAACATGTTGTTACCTGAATCAGAAACGTTATCTTGCATACGGTGGCCAATTTAGGACACGTCAGACCCAGCTGTGGATGTTGTCTTGACTTACCTGAATTTAGCTGAATGCTAACGTTAGCCTTAGGCCTACAGTTGGCATGTGTGTTAGCATACAAACATGCTAAATGCTAGTGGTAACTTGGTTACCACAAGCATGTACACATTTAGCATCCTAAAGGTGCTTTTGCGACGTCTCTCTGTACGTTTTATGAAGTCACATCTCAAATCTCAGTACTTCATTGTGCTTGAAATCCACTTCCCAAGACATGCTGTAATCCTGACCTGTCAATATGTAAACACAAATAAATAAAACAAAACCAAAGACCTATTGGCAGGAGTCATTACATCACACAGCTGAAAGGGTGTGTGTGTGTGTGTGTGTGTGTGTGTGTGTGTGTTCAGGTGGAGGAGGGCAGCGTGGCGGCTGCAGTCTGCCTCCAGGCCGGTGATGAAATGGTGAGAGTGAACGCCGTTCCCCTCAGCGGCTCTCGTCAGGAGGCCATCTGCCTGGTGAAGAGCTCTCATAAGACCTTGACCCTGGTGGTCCGAAGGTACCGTAACAGCAGTTTGGGTACTGATACGAAGAAGATGTTCTAAAATGTGAAATGGTGTCTTAACACTAGCGGTGTACAAGAATTTAAATCTAAAATTGGAAGAATGATGATTTAAATCAGGAACTGTCTGACTAAAAAACAAGTAAACACGGTTATAAATCTGATTAGACATGATGTATAGTTTATTTTGCATCAGTAAAAGTGAAGGACTTTGCACACAAAGTCTTCACCTTCACACGTTAAAAGAGAAATGCGTTGTCAATCACTCCGAAACTTTCAAATCCATCGTTGAAGTTTTCGGAAAAAGGTTCGATTTTCTGCTTTTTTTCCCCCTCCAAACTGTCAGTAGTACAGTATAATTTCAAAACTCACAGGTAATATTCAGGTAAATGATGGTGAGGAGGAGGAGGAGGAGGATGAAAGGAGCTTGCAGGAGCTGCAGACACACGAGGTGTCCACAAAATTATCTTCACTGCTTGGCGACTCCATTTTTGTCTTGTTTTTTGAATTTCACCAACGAATAGAAATAATAATAAAATGCATGGGAATGTAATGATTTTTATCGGATGATGGATTAAAATAATGCACATGAAAAATACCAACTTGGTGTGCAAAGGCCTTGTCTGTTCTGGATGAACAAGCACTCGGTCATTAGGAGGTCAGAGGTCAAAGCCACAGTTTCCTGACACAACAACACGTGGGCCTCTCGCTGCTCGTTTGACCCGGGGGGGTAAAACAAAAGCGGGTATTGTGGAGGCGGCCCGAGCTCCAGCCGAGGCTGTTATTTCAAAGCGCAGATAATGACTCCTAAATGAGACAGAGAGGAGTCCCCTCTGTCAGCTGGTACGACACCGACCCACCAAACCTCAACACTTGTGGCCCTGGGAGACAGGAAGGGTCGACCTTTAGCCCAGTTCAACCCCTCAGGTCAGGACGTGCAGATCAAAATGTTCACAAACAGGGGGGGTTAGCCGTATGGAGGGAGTATTCTCTATAAACCTTAAACATGATTATTTTCTCCTGTTTTAATTTAATAGGCCATCAGTCTTAGTGGAAATCGTTAGTTATTTATTTAAAGAAATCCAATGTGAATATTTGCTGGTTTTCTCTTTTTTTTTAATAATTGTAAACTAAATGTCTTTGGATATTACTTGTCAGACAGAACAAAGACATTACCTTGGAGCTTGGCATTTTACACTAATTTCTGACATTTTATAGACTATTAATCACATAAATAACCTCAGCCACAATGAGAACTTCTAAATAGTTACAAAACCCAGAAAACAACTCCAGCATGTTGCATTGAGCAACATTATGTCAACAAGCAGGTGTGGAGCACCTTTTTATTCAGTTACGATTAAATCGAGGTTTATGCGTTTGTGAATGTTTATGGCAAAGGATGTTAATATTTTGTGGATGTGCTGCTCCAGACTCTCCACAGAAGACCAGATACCTTTGGTACTGCCCACATTTTTAACATTTTTTTATACCTAGAGTGTGAAAGTGGGTTTCCTTTTTATTTTATCTTGGTACATGGTCATTTTTGAAACCATCGACAACTGGAAGTAAAACCAGGTGCGGCTCCACACCTGCTGCTTGTTGTCTTCATGACATTCAGCTTAAAATCAGATGCATCCCGTTGCTCTGTTTGGCTCCTGAGCAGGAGATTCTCTGCACTGTGTGCTTGATTGCTTGTCTGGCAATGAGATTATGGGAGTTTCTTTGTCATGCATCCATAAATAACTAATCTGTTATGGCTTCTAATTTTAGTTTGTCTTGGCAACCCACTGAACCGGTTTGAAAAAATAATACAGTGCATTTAAAGATGCAGCCACAAACTATTACTAGACTATTTACCTGATCAGGGTCCCACCAACTCTGAGAACATCTTCTGTTTAAAACATTTTGCACCCGTTTGGCAGAGTCCAGAGGAAGATAAAGATCCCCTGGTGGATTTAGCTCCACCCTGTGGAGGCTCAAGTTCATTTTGTATATGTTCTTGTCCATCTAAGGACCAAATATTCTCTAAAATGTAATGAATTCCCTACTGAGTGGGTGCATTTTGGTTGTTACTCCCTGTAAACGACTTAATTCCTTGTTGGAGGGTTAATACGTGCATTAGGATTAGGCTAAAAGTGAATTCCTACATTTATGATGGAGTAAATGTGCATAAACGGTGTATTTCACTTATCAAGGCAGCATTAAAAGCTAAAGTACAAGGAACGTTTATCGTCATATTACAGTAGTACAAGTTGTTGTTTTTTGTGAGGTTTATAAAGTATTCAATCATTCGCATTATTTTACGCAGCAAGATCATTTAACATTTGCTGCTGATGGTGTTATCTGTTTTTATTACATCCGTGGGAAAATTGTCACTAAATTAACAGCAGTTCTACATAATATTTATACTCTGATTACAATTATGTGAAAGAGTATCTGCTGTTACTACCCTGCTCTGGAGCTAGCTAATAGTAGTTTTCCAGCTAATTTGAGTGTAGACTTGGATGAGCTGCAGGCATGACTAAGTTGAAATAAGTGGAAAAGGAAGAGTTTTAAGAGGTTAAAGAATTACAGAATAATCAATAGTGTTTACACATGCACCCCAAACCAAACTAGAACGCAGAGCAGTAAAAAGGAAGTGTATTGTTGAGTTATTTCAGGCCTCTGTAGTTGCGTCTTTAAACCCTTTCACTACATGTGTTACTGATGTCCTGTCCTGTCAGAATTACACGCTCACTGGCAAATGGCAACAGAGTCTTAAAGCCTGAATCCAATTACTAGTTACAAAGCCACAGGCGTGGGCTCAGCTTTGAGTGGGTCGAGTCACCGGGAGGGAACGGTGGGCTGTGGGTGTGTTTCAACAACCTGCTTCTGCTGAGGAAACACTTGATCTGTGTGGGCGTAGAGAGCAAACGCCAGGCTCGTATTGGGAGAGATTATTTAAAAACTTGCTCAGAGAGAGAGAGCGCTGACTCGCCCTCAGTGGCGCTTCGGTCCAGGCGTTCCTCCCCTGTTTGCAGGAGGAGTGGTACGGTCCACGTTGCCTAGGTGAGTTGACACTGCTTAGTGGGATAGACCTTATCAGCAGAGCCCATTGTTGCCAGGGGCTTTGGCTACTCCAGCGAGCACAGAGTGGACGCTCCTGTCTGCTTTTCTTTGCTCTCTCTGCACATGTTTGGATTTTAGAAGATAAAGAGAAGGTGTTTGCTCCCAGGTACTTCCTCTTTCCCTCCACCTCTTGTCTTTGTTTTCACTTCTTCTTATGTATTTTATTTCATCTCCTCTGATTCGGTTCCCTGACAAGTGGGATTAGACCAGGAAGCGGTGAATCCGTTTGAGATAACGGCCGGTTTCCTTCGTGTAGATGACACGTAAAGGTTGAGAGGCAGTGGCTCATTGTCCCAAAGGATCAGCTGTAAGGGACAAAGGGATATAATGTCCGGAGGATTTATCTGAAGGTGGAGAAAGGATGGGTGACAACGTTAGTGCAGGTAAACTGATAACACAAGTTAAACTAAATCTTTGTATGTGTCTAACAGATTCTTGTGCTTCAGCAGAGGCGCTTAAAGGGCAAATGTTATGTTAAACCTGTTGCCCCTCTCACACACAGGCAAAAAGCAACAGAGCGTTAACCGCAGATATTAAGCATTTTCATTGACTCACGTAAGCGTTTTTGGACCCTGTACTGAACAGTATATGTATCAGCGACAGTGTACAGGAGATATTCACATAGTAGACACATGCAGAGAAGTATTTTACATGTATGGTAATAAAACAACATCTTAAGACACTTTTATTCTGCATCAAAACACACTTACAGTCATGTATGTGCCCTTTTTTTTTTTTAGAATCTAAAAGTTTGCTCTACTTTACTACAAAAACACGTCAGGGCCCGACATTATGCAGACAAAGTATTTTGGGTGAGTTGCCATCAGGGTTTGGCTCATATTGACTGTTAAAGGCTAATATTGTGTGTGAATATTGGTATCCTTTTAAAGGAATTCATTAAGGATCAGGATCAGTTCATCTCTAATTGTCTTCTACATGATGCAAAAGAAAATGTCAGTGTTTTCTCTGGAATTTTATTTTGATTGTTTTGAGGGTACTTACATTTTTTTTAAGGTTGTGTTATCAGCTCTTCTCTCTCGACATTTTAATAATGAGCAGATTAATCGAAATGAAAATAATTGCCAGTTTTTACAGATGGGCAGTTAAATAAAAAGGTCATTGTTGGCCTGATATCTTTTTAGATATTGTGAGAGCCAGATGTTCCATCTTCAGGTTTGCATCATGTGAAAGTTGAACTTTTCTCCCCATTACATTTTATTCTCCCCCTCCTTTTTTTTTTTTTTGTTGCCGGTGCAGGCGGCAGTGACACACGGATAAGCCCAGCTGTGGTGACGTTGGCACTTTCTTTTGTGTCGTCGTGTTTTAGAGCTCAGTTGCTGCTGCTGGCTGTTTGGGCTCCAACAAGCCCAGCAAGCTGGTGAATCAGCAAGATGCGTCACCAGCGAGCTGTCTGATAGGAGCTGGGAGTGAAAAGACGAGGTAGTGATGGAGTGATAGACGATAGTGAGCCTGATAGTTAACCATTATTGTGGAAAAGTAAACATCACCTGCCAGTTCATCAGACCAATAAATCAGACATCTAACTAGAATTTCCCCATCTGAATATCTCAGTTACTTACTTACTTTATGTTGCTTTTGTTCTATAAGCACGTCAGTTTGTTCACAAACACAAAGAATCTGGTGGAGAGTTCGGCATTAGCAAGATACCAACCGATTAGTTGATCAATTGACAGATAAATTATTGTAATATATGACCACAGGAACACCTGTCCCTAAAATAAACTGTCCTAAGTCAAACCAAATGGAAGATACTAAGAGCATAATAGGGTTAGTTGTCGTCAGCCATGATTCGAAAATAAAACCCTAGCTAGTTGTGTTATAACAAGGTACTTTATCACATTGATCTAAAAATCATACACAAATCTAAA